TTGGGGGGGGGGGAGGGGCGACTAAATGGAGGGCGCGAGTAATTTTTGGAGGGGCGTACGCCCCCGTCCCCTCACGCATCACATAGATACACCACTGTATTGTAAGGTTTTGAGTAAGTTTGCAGTTTCCTTTGTCGAGAAATTATTTAAAGTTAATAGTACAGTTTTACTTTTCCCTCTGACATTGAATTCCCTATTCAAAAATGCATTTGATGTATGTAATGCTTCATTACTAAGGAGCAGCTTGACAAATTAAATTTTTTTTGTAACGGCTAGATTTTTTTCTATGATGGTCAATGTAACCTACATTTTCAGGCGAGTGCAAAGGCGTGTTGCGCATTGTATGGGGCCTACCCAGGTAACAATCCCACATGGGGCCCATATGCAAAATATCTGGGAAAAGCCTTATGGGCTACCCCATATTTTTCCCTTATGGGATCCGTCTGGGCAATCGCATATGGGCCTTGCCCTTGGTTTACCCATATGGAGCCCGTATGCCAAATATATAGGCAAATATATATGGGAATGCCCATATTTAAAGTACATGGGCCCCATATGGTAAATACCTGGGCAGATAAATATAGAAATGCCCACATTTAATCCGCATGGGGCCCATGTGCCAAATATCTGGGAAAATACATATGGGCATGCCCATATTTATCTACATGGGGCCCACATGCTAAAGACCTGGGTAGTTGAATATGGGTATGCCCTTATTAATTTCGTATTGGGCCCATGTGCCAAATATCTGGGAAAATACTTATTGGCATGCCCACATATAATATACATGGGACCCATATGTCAAATACATGGGCAAGTAAATATGGGAAGCCCATATTTAATCCAAATGGAGCCCATGTGCCAAATATGTGGGCAGTTACATATGGGCATGCCCATATTTAATTTGTATGTGACCCATATGCCAAATAACTGGGCATATAAATATGGGAATGCCCAAATTTAATCCACATGGGTTCCATGTGCCAAATATCTGGGAAAATACATATTGACATGCCCATATTTATCTACATGGGGCCCACATGCTAAAGACCTGGGTAGTTGAACATGGGTATGCCCATATTAATTTCGCATTTGACCCATGTGCCAAATATCTGGGAAAATACTTATGGGCATGCCCACATATAACAAACATGGGACCCATATGTCAATTATCTGGGCAAGTAAATATGGGAGGACCATATTTAATCTAAATGGAGCCCATTTGCCAAATATATGGGAAGTTACATATGGGCATGCCCATATTTAATTTGCATGGGATCCATATGCCAAATAACTGGGCATATTATGGGAATGCCCACATTTAATCCACATGGGTTCAATGTGCCAACTGGGAAAATACATTTTGGCATGCACATGTTCAGTCTACATGGGCACCACATGCTAAATAACTGGGCAGATAATTATGGGAATTCCCACATTAATCTAAACGGAGCCCATGTGCCAAATATCTGGGAAAATAAATATGGACATGCTCTTGTTAATCTACACGGGCCCCATATGCCGAATAACTGGGTGGATAATTATGGAAATAATACCCGCATTTACTCCACATGGGGCCAATGTGTTAATAGCTGGGGAAATACATGGGCTTAAGCTAGTGTTTAATTTACACATTTACATATGCCAAATAACAGGGAAGATAACTTTGGGAATGGCCACATTTAATCTACATGTGACCCATATGCCAAATATCTGAGAAAATTCATATTGCAATCTACATGGGTCCAATATGCCAAATTCCTATATGCCAAATTCCCATAGGGCCTATTGTGTCAAATATATAGGAAATAATATTTGTGCCTGTGTTTACTCTACATATATATGCCAAGTAACTGGGCAGATAGCTGTAGGAATATGTACGCCACATGGGGCCCATGTGCCAAATATCTGGGAAAATGCATGGCCATTCTTATGTTCATTCTACTTGGGCCCCACATGCCACATACCTGGGCAGATAATTATGCCCTGGATTCTCCTCTGACCCACTGTTAATTATACTTTATTTTTAAGACGTTATACGTAGCTACAGTTATGACATTAAATGCTCCATTGCGGTACTTTTTACTTAATAAGTGTGTGCACATGCTCAGTAGAAATACCAGTTTGAATGAAGCTAGCTAGCGATGATCGGACCATCGGACTTAAGCCAATGAACTAGCTGTCTTGGCAGTTCCGGTGTCCCGTTTCAAGTTTTGAATTCACAAACGAAGCGCCCATTCTAGTGCCGTCGTCTTGTAGCGAGTGTAAAGGAAGGAAGATTCATAGGCCTAAGAAAATTTGCCAAGTCGCATTGAAGTAAAAGTAAGTAATTTATACTTGTGTATAACTGTTGTTGAATTCCCCAACTATTCTACTGTGCTAGGCCTAATTCGCGGCCAAAACCATTGCATTCCCTGGGCCTAGCTAGGCCTAGATACGAAGGCCTAGGAGGCCTTCTTGTTTAAGCGTATGTTGGCCTAGTTTCTTGAACTAGCGTTGGATCGCCAGTTAACTCTCTGGCTAGGGGCATAAGCCAAGGCATATCCTACATTTTTGTCTTATTATATTTTTCGCCGGTGTATAGGCTAGGCCCTGTCTACCTAACTAATGTCATTGTGTATAGCCTAGCTAGGCCTAGCCTAGACTTTGTGATGTAACTTTAGTATAGGGGACCTGGCTGGCAA